ATGACACCTAACATTAAAATTTTACACATTTAGTTAGTAGGTAATTACTTATTTATCGTATAGAGGGTGGCACATAACAGTGCTATAAACTAATTAACTGGTGGCCCTATGTCCCATTCTATTTGAATAATCTAAAATCATGCGAGTAAGAAACCTATACTTATATTTGATAAATGTAAGATCCACCTTAACACTATACTAAAAAAAGTTTGGATTGCAGAACTTAAAGAACTAACTGTGCTCCTTTCGCATATTTTTAAAGGAATTCCATTCCAGAGCTTTGCCCGACGACCTTGAAAAGTCCCATGCCCTTCTGTTTCTCTGTTGTACAAAGGGCGCGTTAAGTTGTGGTTCCTACGACAACTGGGGGATGGCACTGCTGTAAGAGTTTGATTTTCTGGGTAGTAGCTGGGTTAGGTAAGTCGGACAGTCGATTTCTCCGATACGCCTAAGCATTAGTTTGCACTTCGACCCTGAACATCACAAAAAAAATGTTCAAGTACCACTAAACGCTAAACCCTATCCAGACCCTCTTTAAAGAGATGTTCCGTCGGCTAGTTCCATTTTCACAGCCTATGGTTATTTATTCGCTTGTATCATGTTAATCATAGAAGCATAAAGAAAAAAAACTACCTTAGTTTAGACATCAATATAATTTTACTGAGGAGTTTATTCAGTCTTTACAACTGAAAAAGTGGCCACCGGGCTCTTTGAAAATACGAAAAAAAAAAAAGGACGTGGAAGAGCATAATTTGCACATAACGACCATCTTGTGTAACGGGGCAATTTTTCTGCAAAAATTGGAAAAAAGTCTCATTCTGCCTTGATAAAAAAATATAGAGACATTTTCAATCGAGTGTCGAAAATNTTATTCATCGGCTGCCTATGATGTTTCCCGCTTTCCTCTGATTAGTGATTAGGTATTCCATAGCGATTACCTTGGCTTTGTTTCCTCGTAGCCAGGTGAAAATCACGACAGGTCTAAGTCGAGCCAATTTCTCTTTCTCCTCACATGCAACTTCGGCTCGCTTTTCTGTTGCCTGCCAAACAGGATTAAGAAAAGAAAAAACTTCATAGCTTCGCAGGTTGCCATGTAATAAATCAACTGCATCTGCATCTGTTTTCATTAGGGTTCATTAGATTTCTCAGTTTAATTTCATTTACACAGCTGACTAACGAAGAAGTTGATATTTTTGATGACGAGCAAAGAAACCCAAGTAGAAACCCAATTTTGGCAGCCTAATATGCGGGAGCCAAATACTAAGTTTAGCACCTGAGCGTAGTTCAGAGAACGGCCTGTCGGAAGGTTTGTGGCTAGGCGGCTGTTTGTCAATAGTTCAGGTATGGGGACTGTAGGTTTTGAAACCATCGGTCAACCAGAGATTTCTTTAAGGTTTTAGGGGCCTCTTAAAAAAAGGCCTTTCCTTACTTAACTTTTTTCATAGGCTGTTTTGCTGGACTGCTGGCTCTGGTCAGTCAGGGAGGGTTTGTTTTTAAGCTAAATGTGGTTTCGTGAGTCCTTGGGAGAGGTATTCTCAGCGCATTTTTGTCTTGGAGATCAGGCTCATGCTCAGAAGCAGTTCAGCCAGTGGGCTAGATCACTATGACAACGGGTATTTTCAGCTTCCGAAGCAGGGGGCCTGGATAGGAAATCTGAGTTTGTTTCGCGTTTGATTTACATTTGCCTCAAAACCCTTTGTTTGAAAAACTTTTTTTTATTGAGTAAACTAACCGCTAGTAGACTTAACAATATGTTTTTTGTAATACCAAACATTAAACTTTTAAACATTATGTTATTAAGTAACAACTTATATATTGTATAAAGGGTAACATATAAAATTACTATAAACTGATTAACTGGTGGCTTTCTGCCCTATTCTATTTGAATAATCTAAAATCATGCAAAAAACCTATACTTATATCTGATACATATAAGTTCCACCTTAACACTATGCTAAAAGAACTTTTGGATGGCAGATCTTTTAAAGACCTAACGGTGTCCTTTTTGCGTATATCTAAAGGAATTTCCTTTGCCCCACGAATATGAAAAGTCCTACCCCTTCCGTTTCTCTGTAGCACTGAGGCACATTAAGTTGTAGTTCGTATGACAATTGGCTCTGCTGTACAAATTTGAATTTCCTGGAAGTAGCTGGGTTATATAATGAGGACATATGGTATCTCCAAAACACATCAATATTAGCTTGCACTACGACCCTTAACATTTGAAAAAAAAAATCAAATAACACTTAATCCTATCACCCTCTTCAAAAAGAGTACTGTTGGTTAGTTCCATTTTCACGGCCTACGGTAATTTTACGCATGTATCATGTTAACCATGGAAGTATAACGAAAAACAAATTTACTTTAATTTAGACATTAATTTAACTGAGCAGTTTGTTCGGTGCTTACAAAAAAATTAGCCAGCTGGCTCTTTGAAAGTATGACAAGGTCTATCTCAAATCAATCAAGATCAGTAAATACTAAAGCTACCACAACAATAAAAAGAACAGAGAAAGAGCAAATGACTTCTTCACTTTTAAGTTCTCGTGATTCCAATTAATATCATGATACCTATTATTGAAAACTTCTCTTGTGTACGAAAGTTGAAGTAAATGCTAAGTGGCCCCAGTCAGCGCCAATGTACATCAACGAATCACGTTTTAGGAAACATAGCTATACGTATTGAAGATCTTTTACAAGCTTCCAATCAGCAGCAGAATTCAAGCAGCTTTAGCCTCAGAGCGATAGCGGACATTCTGCCGATCGAGAGCAGATTACGGCGAGTGCCCCAAGAGCATTTGATTCTGAACCATTCCAGGCGGCATTTTAACCACTGATAATAAATACTAGCCTCCAGTTCGAGAATGTTAACATCGGCAGAAGCAACCACGCATGCGCGATTTTCGTTGAATGAAACTGTGAGAGGAAGACTTCCGCGCATTAAGTTACCGTCGCCAGGAACACCAGCCCGAAGGTTGAGCACTGATACATAGCCATGGAGAGAAGCTGTCACTGCCAATGATGGCCTAACCTAAAACGATCCAAACAGTCAATTCAGCAGCAGGTCAATTTATAGCGACAACATCGTTTGCATCATGATGCACTGGCATACTGAAATTGTCCATTGAAAACGTCATGGTGCGCGAGGAGAATTTGAACCCAAATTACGAAAGATCTGATTCACTTAAAAGCTCTTCCAGGAAGAGATCTGAAGAGATATTACAGGGTCCCCTAAACCCCTTTGCAAAACTCAGTCACGTAAAAATATTTGGTCTCAACACCCATCACCGGTAACGTTCAGAACTCAAGACAATCTCGTGAAATTAAAATTTTTTTTTTCTATTCTTGACAAGTCCTACGCGACAAAAGATAACGCAATGTCTTATTTTATTTGTCTAAGAACTATTAGAGGTCTGTTTGATGACTTGTATCGAAAAACCACAAAAAAAAATCGAAAAACCACAAAAAAAATCGAAAAACCACAAAAAAAAAATCGAAAAACCACTGTCAAAACCACAGCCGTTCGAGAACAATACGTACATTTCAAGTCCAAAGCAATGAAAAAGCCGGAAATTCATCACGCAAAACAAAATGTATCACGAATCATGTTTATTCCAGCTCTTGATTTACGGGTCTCGCTTAAGTAATAACATTCGTTCACGTAGCCATGAAAAGAACTTATAATCTTTAATAACAATTCATGAATTAAAAAAATTCAAATCACGATTCATGAGAATAAAAATCGTCCAATCACACTTGACGTCAAATGTATAGGGAACAAATCAAAGCGTGCAGAGTTGCAAAGTGGCAAAGGGTAATCTTCTAGAGAGAAAATCTATTTTACCAAATGAGACTTTCGGTTGTCTCAAGTAAGAGTTAAAGAAAATAAAGGTTTTGTTATCGCTGTTGTGGTAAGTTCTAATGAAGCTTTTATACAGCAAAGTCAGGTGCCGAGAAACCCAAACGCTGATGAATAAACTAATAAAAAAAGAACAAGACAGGTAACTAACCGTTGCGTAATAGGCCAGAGATGACTGTATGTTGTAGCCCTGGCTAACTGTGAGGCTACCAGCTATCCCTAGTTTGAATTTCACAGCAAGGGAGATGATAAATACTGGAACATGTATACCCTGTCATTAATTAAACCAACAGTAATCAGTAAATCCATAAATAAAACCAAAATTAATCAGTGAGTCGCTTGAATTAAACTTTAAAATAACATAGCATTGCTTAAAAGGATTTCTGAAGGTTAATGAGTGTCGACTTTGTATATAAAGTATACAATCGTTCATCTCGCTAGGTATTCTCTTTGGATCTGGATCGTACAAAATTTAAAGTAGAAAATGTAAATGAATACAAAATATAAAGTGGACCAAGGAATACACTTTTTTGCAGTTTAATCCATCCTTGACCAATTTTCAATTGAGCTTCAGAAGTAATTTATGATTGCAGTAGTTTTGTTTTTGAATCCTCAGTGGAGAAGTTGCGCCACTCTTTCGACGAATCACTTTCAAAACAAAACAAATCCAGACTTGATCTCTTTCCTATTCCCACCCCTCAAGCAGTTTTCTTACTGTATTTTCCTTTAATAAGTAACCACTTTCATTTTGGCTTTACGACTTTCAATCGATGAGTGCCTCACTTTGCCTACAGTCAGTAAGACTGGAATCCAACTTTCAAAGAGGCCTCAATTAGGAATGCATCTGTTTTATGGTTGCTTGATTTAAAAAGGTGTCTGTAGGGACGTGCTAGTTATGAAACTGATCTATCATTTCAAAATGAAACAATCTTAAAACGTCAACAACACACTAACTGTGTGGCTAAGTTTTCTGTTAATACTGGCATTGATCTATGTGGGATTCATCAGATCTTAACAGCTCATCAAACTTACCACTGAAACCGAGAAGGACCAACTATTGGTCTTACTTCGATGGGCGCTGAAGGATTCGTCTAATAGCCTCGTCGAGTCGGAGCCTAAACGGAGAGTAACGGTCATTTCGTTTTTTACTTCAGTCTGTAACTTGATGCGAAATGTTTCCTCTACTTTTGCGTTGACACCAAATATCTTTTTATCCATCAGTGTTACACTCTCCTCCTTCTCGGCTGACCTAAGAATGGTAATGGCTTGTCTGCGGGTTCGGTTTCTTGAGACATACGAGTCTGCGGTCGAGTTTTTTTCTGATTCATCTGTGTTGGCAAAGGTGGCATGTGATGCTCTTGACTCACCAGTAGGTTCTTTCACAGCCTTTCGCTTGGACCCCTTTACCGCTAACTTTACGTCAGATTTTGGAGCATGAAGCTTTACGAAGCCACGGACGCTGATATCCGCTAACTCGTCGTCTTTAAGATAACTTCTGCGAGACTTTTCGTCATCAAGAAGTGTTACCTTACTCGTGAATGTAATGTTCATCATGTCGGCTGTAGAACCATTCTTGAGTCGAATTGGCTCTCCAAAATTCAATTGTTCAGTCAAATCAACCTGACTCTTAGCTACCATACCGTTGCTCTTCTTAAGAACTGACGATTCAGCATATGACATCTCCAAGTCAATGTCAGATGTCATATTGGTGACATCTGAACGATTGAAATGATTCTTGATCAAAATTCCGTCATGTTCCGATGTGTTTGCCTCCCTATGCATCTTCACAATACCGGGAAACATGGAAGATTTTTCAGGTTTTGGCTCAGAATTTGGTTCTGGTTTCTCTCCATCTACACGTTCGTAAAGATTACGTTCAACAGTTGGGAGAAGCTGAGTAAGCATGGCTCGGACATAACGAGTGAACTCTGCGTCGGACCTTTGGTTTCCGTATAATTCAAATGATTCGTCTCCCTCAGTGGAGTTAGACGCATCAGACCTATTATGAAAAAAGATAAAAACGCAGACAGTTAAAAACATGTCAAGTAAGAACAAGCATGACAATTTGTCAGTGAAGAATCAACATTTCGAGCTCCTCATCGCTTTTTATAAAAATTAAAACTGTGGTGAGTATCACTGAGCCGCAAAAGGAAGCTGGAGGAAGGAATGAATTACTGAATCACAATTATATATCGTTACTTTTGAGTGCCAGATGGATCAGGGTGTTACTTATTCAAGACCATCAAGAAAATGACACCGCAACCACCTTGTTATCTTTGATGAAAATAGCAAGGATTCCTATACTTTTCAATCGAAGCTTTAACTGAATTTCCGACGATATGTAGATAATTATCCTGTTGTTGCAATTTCTTTCCAACAATACTTTGTTTACGTGAGTGTGTGTGTAATATGCCTGGGTTGTGTGTGGTTTATTACAGATAAAAATGTAAAAACAAGTTTTTTTTTGTTAGCCACTAGCTCTTTAGATTATCACACTATTTGACTTTATGGCCCAGGCTAACATAGGTTGAATGGTTTATTTATTTATTTATTTTTTTGGCTTCCCATATAACGTTTATGGAAAAAAAATCACTATCAAGCGGACCTATCACTGTCTGTTAATCCCTACCAGACGACAGTCGTGGATAACTTCTGGAATTTGAAATTTTCAGGAATACATTTTTTATTACCTTGAAGTGCGCTCAACCCTCACCAAAAAATATACCGGTCTTCCCGGGTCTACGTTAACGATTCTTTCCAAGTTTTCTCCTTCAGCAGTAATGCTGATGATCTTTAAAATGAACCAATACTCTTCTGAAGTCTTGTTTTTCACTTGAAGTGCAACGATGGTTCTTAAGGTTCCTGAAAAATAGTTAAATGTCCTTGAACAAAATACTGAAATTTAATACAAACTTAAAGTAGATCACTTGAGCTCAAGAAGTTAAATTCAGCAATGATATGATTGTTTTTCTGCCAGACATATTGAAGGAAGGAAGGCATCAAACTAGGGTGAATATGCAACTTCAACATACATAATACCAAATCTCCTCATTCATCGAAAGATGCCGATCTTGCAAAGGAGACAACCGCATAAACCGGATGTAAAACCTTTAAATACTGATAGTAAATTGAGTGTCTTTTACAGCTTTGCCGGTTCAAGAATATTTTTTTCGATTTTGTCGATGGTAAAAAATTCTTTCATTGATTTGAAATTTATACTAATTTTTGTAAGGTTTTATTCTTAAATCGATATGAATTATAATCAGATTTGGAGTTTTCTGACAAAATAAAGTGAAACCAGCCTCTACGACTACTAAATATAGGCACGTATAGCGTGCTTGTGTCTATTATTAAGGTTAAATAGTGTCCAGAACTTCGTTTCTTCATAGACCACAAGATCTTATTAACATTAGTTCAAGATGATTCTTGTATAGTCCTCTATTGTTTTGGCATCGAAAACGTTATTAAATAACAAGCACCTCGAACAAACACTTTTTGCTGCGTATCTTAGGGATCAGTCATAATTTTTGTCTGGGGGGGATCATGGAGGATTTCGGGGGGAGTCACATGGTATTCAGGGGGAAAAGAGAGGGCTCAGTCACTGACAAAGTTAAAACCAAGTAATGGGCTCCAGACAGATTATGAAGGGCGGACTTTAATTTTTAACTAACTCCAGAGGAGGGGTGTAATCTTAAGAATATTAGAGAGCCTTGTGGAGGGGGGGGGAGGGGGCGGGTTTAAGTAAAATTTCTCGTGACGCAAAAAAGTCCCTCAACCCGTCCCCATTTCCCCGCCGGTGACAAATGACCGCTCCCATAATGTCTCCCTGCGCAAGTGAAGTAGACACAAAATTCGCACTTTTCATAGAGGATCGATGTGGTCATGGCGCTGACCAACATAACGCAACATCGAGCCTTGTCGGTACAAAGAATTCCACTGGAATTTAACAATCTCATAATAGTTATAGTAATAGTAATCAAAGTTTAATGTCTTAACGTGGGGCATGGTTACCCATATTGCCCGAGCCAGAGGCTAATGTATGAAACCCAAGACAACAACCCACCCATCCCACTCCAGGGGAGGACATCCATCACACAGTAATCTCGTGTGTGGGAAATTAACGTCACCTACCCCTAACCCTGCAGGAGACGTGACCTCCATTTATTCGTCCCTATCCGAGAAGACTAGAATATCTAAACCATTTCTTGATGTTATAGAAAGGCAGCATATTCTTCTCAATTATTTTAAGACCTTGAGTGTTGGTCCGGCCGGGGCTCGAACCCTCGACCTCACGCACATCAGTCCCATTTTACAGTGGATAAAACGAAATCCAAACAGATTCATTGCTAAAAACAAATAGAAAGAAAGGTGGGCAAAGCAGGCAAGGTGAAAAGAAAAACGCTAATGGGAACGGGCCTTCTCAGAATTATCTCAACGTTTTGGGAAATGTGACAGATATTTATTTCTTTTGTGCGATAGAAAACGCGATGTAAACAAATTAATGTAAGCAGATCGAGATCCCAGACAAAAGCCCACGAACACTCTGCTGGAGGCTTGTAGAATTATGACATTATTTTGATTCCTACACCTGACATTATTCGGTTCTAGTTCCCCTAAAACACCTTTTCGGTTGTATCTCGCGTTCTTTGTCATTTGTTTTCGTCAAATTAAACTCAAGTGGTTTCCCTAACGTCACAGAAATTAAAAAGAAGATTTTTAAAAATTAATTTGATTTGATCGACGGCAACCTTAACCTCCGTGGAGGTTGCTTTCCTATCAGATTTCAAGTTACCGTTAAAAATGATCAACTGAACTGATCCCGAAACTGCTGGAGCTAAGTATATTACATTTCGGATGTAACCTTTTTGTATGGCAGTACAGTATCGACAAGACAAAATATATTCATCATAAAGCAAATATATGAATAGGCTCGATTTCCGCCGCTCTCTCAGGTCCGATCTTTTCGTTCCTCCCCGAAAAGAGAGCTTCGGGAAGGAGCGCGGGCTCTGGTTCTTGAGCAGCGGCTGGTAACCGAGCCTAATTATGGACAACTATGCGAAAACTGTGCACCTAGCCTGTTCAAAGGTCTTAATTTTATTTTACCAACTGAGTTGATAATGTGGATTGGGCACCCTTAAGAGTCAGATTGTAAAGCTGACGTCTTTAGCGTTGCTTTTACAAAGGGCTAACTCTGGAAGGTTCAACTTTAGAAAATAAATATAGAGGCAAGACCGATACAACGTAGATAAGTTTTAAGACGGAACACTATATTTCGGCTGGCCAAACCAACCTTCTGCAGGTGCAGTGGGAATTGATATAGAATTAAGGTGGTACTTAGATAGCTGTGTAATGTGATAGCGGAAATACGTAAAACTAATTTGATTGACAATGAGATAACAATTGAAAATAGAAATAGTAAATAAAAATAGAAGTAAAGTAGGGTAAATTGAATAAATTAGATAACTAGAAGTAAGAATAGTAGAGGGAAAAACACTAATACATTTCTTCGCGAGCGTTAAGGCCGTCGGGATAAAATAATAGTATTGCCTCTTGAAATTAAAAAAGCTTCTCCGGCCTTGCGGATCGAGTCTCTCTTGGAAAACACTTTCTCGATGGCGATAAGCTTTTTCGATGGCTATCGTCTACGTTTGCTTTCTGAACATTTCACAACTTTAGAAACTCTCTACTGTAGCCAATTTACACTATCGACTCACTTGATAAAACCTAATCATCTCGCCATACCCCCCACCGATGCGACACCACGGTTTCTTTAATAGAAACTTATTAGCTTCTATGTTCAAATTCTGTTATGTCAAGTCAACAGTCAAAGTTGATTAAAAGTGCAAAATGCCGACATGAATTCAGAACCGGGTTAATTTTCAAGGTTTACTGGGTGTAGCATTCTAACGGTTGATTCATTAAAAACAACTTATTGAATCCAAATATTTGAACGATGGAGGCGCCTAAATACCAAAACAAATCGCTGAGCCATTCATATGTAAATGACTGAAAATATATCAAGATAATTCCAATGTAATTGAGTGAACGTGAATAACCGCGCTAACAAATCCGACGCTTCAAAGATAAAAGAAAACATGCACGATGAAGGGACTGTAACGGAAGACCTGAGGTGACCGCATTCTTTATTTTGTACGGCCTAATATATTGATAATTGTGCAAATTGATTTATTTTCGTGCGGCTTTGAAATCTTCAAACTATTTTCATTTTAATTGCCTGCCTTCGATGTTTCTTGACTGAAAACTTTTCACTGTTCTTATCTTGTAAATTGCAGAATTTATCTAAAAAACCAAGAGAATATGAAGTTTACATTCTCTTACTGAATGCGAACGTATTGCACACTGGCCTGATGTCATCTTAAAAAGAGAATTTCTATTCCAAAAAAAGGCCTAAAGACCATGAAGGCAATGTTAAAGCGTTATCGTTGTTTTGTTTACTTAGTGATGAAGGGCATCTTAACGGACACCTAACGCTTTATCAGTAACGAAGTCAAATACCTTTTTGAAGCTCTCCGCTCTTTACTTCCAGAGCTTGTTCGACTTGATACACCAGAGTTTCACCTGGTTCTAAGTTGACCTCCACTAAGCGCTCAGTAAATTGCTTTTTTCGAGTCAACAAGGTTGCTGTGAGAATGATTCCACAAACTACGAGAGAGATAACTGCAAAGATAGCGGTGGTCCGCATAATGGTCCATTTTCTTGAGGCAGGTTTCCCTCCTTTAAGACCATCTTCGACATAATCGTTAACTGGAGTTTCCTTTTCGTAATGCGCTTCCTTTTTCTCTGGAAAACCATCCATGATCGAGGTTGAAGCTGTACGACAACTCCGTTCTGTCTGAAGGTTCAGTGTATCGCAAGGCCCCTTTTCAAGTATTCTCGTTCATCCGCAATAGCTGAATCTTTTGTTTTTTCGCCATAACTGAAGCAGGATGTTTCTAGTCTCAGCAATGAAGCTGTATTCTCTTCCTAAATGGCGTTGAAGCAGGGGTATCAAGCCTGACGTTGATATTGTTAATCAGCGATCATGGAAGGAAATGTAACTTCCGCTTCAGCACCAGGAGAAGTAGTCTAAAGTGAACTGAAAGCCGTTCACAAACTTTTTTAACAGCCAGATTTCATTTTCAACGATATCACGAAAATCGTGGAGCTCTCTTTTACACTGATTGCCGTCTCAGAAATTTGTAGGGTAGTCGCACAATTAATTAGTTTTACCATACGTAAATCACAGCTGAAAGCGTCTAAAATGGCGGTAAAGTGGCTGCACTGATGAAGATCAGCAGGCACGGAAGCAAATATACACGATCATTCATGTACAACTGAAATTTAGTTTTTATGTTTCCTATAAGCTACGTGACTGCATGTCCAAGATTTTGTTTTGGCTTCAGCAAAGCGTGTTGTCTATCCTTACGTATAACCTGCTGACAGTAGCTGAGGAAACTTGCATGCAGAGTGTTGGAGGAACTCGTAAAATGTTTCCGCATTCTGCCAAACTGCCAGAAGTCATGTCCCGTGCGTACCTACACGGCACCATCATTCCTCCTCTACCTCAGAAATTACGACAACTGTGGCTGCTCTCGCTCTGATGGCGATGAATTTGCCCCATACCAAAGACGACAGGCGGCCCATCGTTTGCAGCGTAAAAGAAAAACCAATGTTTGCTTTCACACTCGGATTTGAAGTCCCTAAATTTCCTCATGGATCCACCCAGAACAACCACGATGAGGTCACAAGAACAGACTACGATGAACACTTTAAAGAAATGCCAAGTTCCTTAAATTCCTTTCATTCGGTAGCCGCTCGAATCTTGCACCTGAAGTTTCAAAGTGGTAGTCGAGTTCTTTTATAAACGCCGAGCTTTCAGAATCGAGCATGATTCCGATTGAACAGTTTACCAACGCTAATTATTGTGCGCTGAATTTCCTTCAGAAATTTTGAATTATTTTAGATCAATCCTCGCACGTTTCAAGGTTCACAGTTGAATGACGTTTGAATAATTATCTTTTAAAAGTTTATAGAGGGCAAGTTTCTAAAGAAACTGTAATTCTGTGTCGGTGAGGGTATAACAAGATAATTTAGTTTTATCAAATGAGTTAAGAAAGAAAAAAAGAAAGAAAAGAAAGTTTAATTCCACCATCATGGCAGCCATAGTTAGTCTCCTCTACTAACTATGTCGCAGCTAATCTGAATTACAATGTAGTTACAATCGTGCAACCATAAAAATTACAAAAGTTGATTAAAGAGAGACTGGTTTACAATGGGTTTTATAATAAAGTTACAAATAAGTTTATGCTTATACAAGTTGAATGGGCGTATATATAGTCTAAAAGTCTAATAATCATTAAAAGCTAGGCTAGGCTTTGGAGTACGTGGAACTACTCTTGACTGGTTTAAAAACAATTTATACAATCGCTCCCAGTTTGTTAAGATTGATAATACTAAATCCAACTACGAAACTTTTGTTTGTGGTATACCGCAAGGTTTAACGCTGGGTCCACTCCTATTTTTACTTTATATTAATGACCTGCCAAATTGTTCCAAGAAACTATCATTTCGAGTTTTTGCCGATGACACAAATGTGTTTTACACAAGTGATAAGCTACAACATCTTGAAACAGTTATGAAT